ATCTATCTATCTGTCTATCTATCTCTCTCTATCTATCTATCATCTATATATATATATATATCTAGCTATCACAATTCTGGGAATTGAACCCAAGGCCTCCTGCATGCTAGGCAAGCACTTTTCCAAAGAGCCAAATACCCAGCCCTCTCTTTTATTTTTATTTACCAAAACTAATTGGAATATTTACAGTGCAAACAGAATCATTTTTTGATTCTGTTAGTGAAAGTAATTTGTCTCTGAATAGTCCCTTTATATAATTTAACTATTATTTGTATATATTTCTTTTCAGTCTTTTCCTTCCAGCACATGTATACTTACATGATCTTTATCATGCATATAAAATTTTCTTTCCTGATTATTTTGTCTTTTAGTATATGCTTTTTTCCTTGTTGCCACAATACTGATAACTGTAACTTTTACAACTGTATAATATACTGTCAAATGGATTTACATCATCGTTTTTCTTTTTTTGTTTTCATTTTGAAATTGTTTCAAAAATACCTGTTTTGAATAATACTGTGATGAACATCTTTCTGCAGAAGACTTTTTCCTTCTTTTTAGGTAAATTTTTAGAAGATATTCTGCCTAAGTAGGCATAGTAGGACAAAGGGCATGAAAGGGTTAAGGCTTCTGATGTACATTGCCAGATTGCTTTCCCAGGGCACACTAATATACTGCTGCCCAAAGTATGTTCTGCACACAACTTCTTGTCAAGAAACTTTAGAGTGAGATAAGAATCTTGTGCCACAATGTAAATTGATTGGCTGCTTCCTTTTTTTAAGAAAGTCTTTACAACTGAGAGTATCAGCTTAATTTCCAGCATACTTAGTTGGATGACTGATTTATTTTCTGGTACTGGAGAAGTAACAACAAATTTTATTATCTTAACAGTGTGTATTCGCTTAGTCTGGAAAACAGGGTCCATGCCAGAAAGCTAGAAGAAGAAATTTACTGCACGTAACCAGCCACCAAGGTGCTGAGAATGGGGACTGTGCAGGAACTCAGAGAGCAACAGTAGGAAGCTGCTCCTTTGCTTAGGGCTGAAACAGTATGGTGCTGAAGCCGGTTGGTATAGTCTCTTGAGATCTGATTGTTAAGTATCAGGAAGTTTGTATGCCAGGATATATTTATACCACAGGTATTGGTAAAAAGTTCACATTTGGCCTTGTCCTCTCCTAAAAAATCAGTTGTTAAAAATGGGCCAACACAGCATTGGACAAGAGTTTCAATTTCAGAGGAGATTGCAGTGTTAGGACCAAGCTGGGGTCTAACACAGTAGTATCCATGGAGAAGGGCCCGAATGCAGAGAGCTGGAGAGCTGGAGGAGATGCAGATAAGGCTGGAAGTGCTGCCTTGCAAGTAGATGGGGATGCTTCCCATTTCCCTTTCTGTTGTTCTCGATCACCTATTGGTGTTTTCTATTGGGCAAACTTTGCTGGAAGCTAGTTGGCAAAGTCTGCAGGAAAATGATAACCAAATGCACTTGATAGCAAAGTGGCAAATGACCACTACTCAAACGTGCTGACAGTCCACAGTAACTTAGAGGATAGTTCAATTGGTCTTTGGATAGTGCACATTTCTCTAAGTGACAGCACCTGCTTTTTGTACAAGTTCAGTGTGAGCTCTTTTCCTCCACACTCCTACGCCACATCATGAGTACCTGATAGACTATTCAGATCATGTTGTTATCACAGTTTATGTTTAGAGAAGGGTCACAAACATGAGCAGTGCATAACAAGTAGAAATATTGTGTATTCCTCTGTATTCACTTCCGGAAAATACTTATAGTTCTGTAGAAACCTTAGTTTTCTGCACAGAAATGAGAAAACACCTTACATGAGAGAATTCATGTTGGCTATACCAGTTCCCTCGGTGCCTTTGTGATAAATGGAAGCTAGGAAGTGGGGGTGGGGATAACAAATTGATATTAACGCTATTTGTTAGGAGGATTGTTGAGGAGCACCTGGGTGACAGCAAGGCTCTCTCTACACCCGAGCTAACTAGTACACCTCCTTGTATGATGGAAATGTTCCACTTCTCTTCCGTCAGTCAGGAAGCCATGAACCACACGTGGCAATCAAGAATGCGGAATTTAGTGTAACTGGAGAGCTAATTTCATAATATTTAATTTTAATTACTTAATTTAAATTAAATTGTAATTTTTGTTTTGTTTTTATTTTTTTTATCGGTACATGTGTGCAGTCCTCATGTGCAGTTGGTACATGACAGTACACATCGTAATATTTTTTCATCCTCTTCTTCTCCCTTCCCTCCCTTCCATCTCTCTCTGGGTCACTTTCCCTTTTGCAAAATATCTATCCCTCTGTTTCCAACTATCTGTTTATTTTGTCTTTATATTTTGGGTTTTTCATTAAGTGAAACTAGGTAATATTTAAGCTTATTTGTCTGATTTATTTCACTGAATATCCAAATCCAAAGCTAGTACAAGAAAGAAAATTATGAAGATCAGAGCAGAAATTAATGACTACACAAACAATATAATGAATCAAGGAGCTGGCTCTTTTTGAAAGAAGGAGCAAAACAGACAAAACCTTAGCCAGTCCTGCCAAGACAGGGAAGAAAAGACCCAAAAAGTACAATTAGAAATTAAAAAGATGAAATCACATTGGACAGTGCTGAAATCCAGGCTAGTAACTACTTTAAGAACCTATACTCCAATAAACTGAAAAATTCAGAAGAAATGAAGAGGTTCCTAGATACATATGAAACACCAATTTAAGTAGCTAATATGGTTCTAGAGCATTTTGGTACTCTACAGAATTTGGCTAGTGTGAGAAAAAGAAGAGAAGGGATTTGTCAAAATGTTGCCATGGGCTATTAATTTTACAGTTTAAATTTTGGGAGGAAGATGTAACTAAAAGTTGACATTTCCTTTTTATTGCTTGTGGCTGCTGGAGTGCTGGACTATGCCTTCCCTAATGGAATTCCAGAGGAGGAAGAGCTGGTGATGCACGGTAGAAGACCCAGGTTACTGTAACTCTGACTACCTGCAGATGAGTCTCTCATTCAGAGAGGACACACCTGCTGTTTTGATTGGCTGCAGGCTATTAATAAGGGAAGAAAACATTTGATCTGTACAGTGGATCGTAAAGTTTGACTTTTGGACTAAAAAAGACCTGTGGTGTGACCTTCTAAGCTGTTAATAGTATTAAGAATCAATGAATTAAGGGATCATTTTTTCTTTGAAATATTTGAAATCCGTTGCTCTGAAATACACTGTGTCTCTAACAGATCAGCAGTATTTAAGATACATGTCTAAGGATCCAGAATTCAGAAAGGATGCTTTTGATTTTGTTCTAGAATATGGAAATTGAATGATATTTTTACTACATGAAAACTTTCTGTAAGTTTTTAGTAGCAGCCATAATTTCTGCTGGAAGAAAAGGGTGGGGTGGGGGGAGAAAATGTACAACTTGGAAATAGATTCTAAACCAAGTTTCAGACCCACCCTTTAGCTAGCCTACTTTAGGATCACATTCATTTTTTTTAAAAAAGAAACTCCTGCATATATTGCTGGCCATAAAGTGCTGACTATGTATAACATGGTGACTACATGTGGTGACAGTTAAATGTAATAATAATTTGTTTCCAGTGAAGAATAGAACTAACATGCCCCTGCCCTCTGGTTGAGTAATGGTGTGCTCACTAACTGCTGAACCAAATGTCCTAACCAAGGGGGATAAATGTAAACTTCTCAGAGATTCAGTTGTCAAAGATGACCCTTGTCTTCTCTTTAGTTCACTGGAGCATGTACTCTTCCTGAGCACGGTTAGATACTCCCAAGTTCATGTTTGTGTGGGCCTTGGCACAGGTCTTGTGAATGCCAGAGTACTGACAACACGGGAAAACCCAACTGTACCTCGAACTTTTAGAATGTTGCTCCAATCACTGTTAATTCTATTTGTCCATTTAATATGAATATATGATTATTGAGCTCCTTCATAGGAAGCTTGAAGAACTGCAGTTCTGAGGACTAATGATCCTTGGATCAATTCCATATGAAAACATGTTTTACTGAGTCAGGGACTTTGGTGAATTGTTGGTAATAAATTAGAGTGGTCGTGTGTAGTACATCAGTTATTAGTGGACTCTGATACAAGATTATTCGTGTTTGTAATAATGTATCCATAGAGCACCTTGTATTCACAATGTTATCTCTATTTATGTTCATCTTCTGCTTATAACAGCACTGTGAGAAGGCACCAAAAGCCATTTAGATTAACCACAGTATGTGTTGAGCACCATGAGAAAAACATGGTTTGTGTCCTCAAAGATCTCAGTGTTCAATAGAACTCACTTCATCACAACAACAGATTGGAGGCTCAGACAGTCAAGTGATGTTGAGAGAGAGAGCTCAGAGCAAGGTCTTGATTTAAACTTCTTCCTGAATTTGTGGTCGGTAGACTGCCTTAGCATGCCTAACCTACCTTTATATGGGTAGAGCTAAAAATGAATCACTCTTCTATGTCCTCACTATTCTCCATTTTGTTTTTTTCCCTCACTCCCACCTATCCAGATGTAGGTTTCACTGCCATATGTTCTGGCCTCCTTGTATGTGTCTATGTGTGGGTTGCCCATTCCCAGAGAAGTGGGCTGTGAACTTTTTTGGCAGTTTCTTCTTGGCTGGAGAGCTCATGGGAGAGCTCTGTGCAGCAAATCTCTTTTGTGGTTATGACACTAGTGAGCCACACCCATTAAGATGGACCCCAAGAGAGTGATTTGTACATAAGATATTCAGCTTTCTGTTGCTTCCAAACCTAAAACTTTTATAAAGATGAATTAGGCAATGCGAACATCGAGGCAGTAAGTTAAAGAAACCATTGGTATGCTGATACCAGTTGTGTATTAGTCATTTTATGGATATTTTTTCATCACATACTCTGCAGTAAAGACTTTGCTAACCAGATACAAAAGCTGAGGTTTGGGCACAGTTAAGAAGTTACCCCAAATCATGCCACTAATAAATAGTAAAACTTGAATTTAGTTGATTACAAAATCCATGCTCTTTCCACTTTATTACAGCTGCAGACTGGAGGCTGGTGGCCTCTCTTGGGCCTGCAGATGTATTGTTTTGGCCATCGTAGTGTTCTGACAAGTTTTGTACTGGTTTCGTACTGGTTGCCAGCTCTTAAAGATCAGGAAGTTTTTCATAAACCTAGATTTCTGGTTTCTTTGTGTAACCAGAAAGTCTGGCAGTCTGGGATCTTTAATCCTTTGGCACCAATGACTTGGCAATAGTTCGTCACTTCCTGCCCTCACAGAACATGCGATTTGTGTCTGCTTCCCACGAGTCAGCCTGCTTCCCTCACCTGCCTGACCCAAGTGGGGCCTGGTGGTGCTTGAATCTGGAACATGCTTCTGCAGCCCTTGCTGGGTCTCTGTTGTGGACAGAGACGAAAGCTGAAAAATGAAAATCAAGTCAATGAAAGCATTTCCCCTGGATATTACATAGAAACCCCCTTCTCCACAGATTTTCTGTTCCCGCGGTGTGGGCTTGTGACATCTCAGTGGCTCGCACCCGGCATGATAGATGAAGGAAACAACAGTTTTCTTCAGTTGTTCGTGAAATTTCCACTATGGTTGTACATCAGCCTCCCATTTGGGAAAACTTTAATGTTGCTTTCCACCTCCCACTTAACACATCTTTAAAGAGAATAATTTTTTCCTTTAAATGTTTTTTAAAAAGAAAGTTGATTTTAATAATATTAGAACCCTTACCCTGAGCACTGAATAGAAAATAAAACAAAACAAAACAGTAAGATGAAATCGTTCCCCCTTTTTGCCAGGGACATATTTCCGTGACTGGAGAGTGGCAATTCCGTGGTGCACGTGGACATAGGAAAAAAAGGTTTTGGGGTGTAGGATATGTGACTGGCTTTGTTACAGTTAAAATCTCAAAATTGATAATGTGTAATATCTGAAAGCTGAATTGCAGTAGATGGGAAATTCAGGCTACAAGTAGAAAAAGTATTTTATCTGAACGCTGTGTTGGCTGTCCCTTCTTTCATGTATTCTGAAGATAATTCTGCAGCTAGAGGGATAATGTCTTCCTCCTGCACAAAGCAAAGTACCATGACGTTGGCTTCCCTGCCTGCCCAGCCTGAAGACCTTATAAGCCCCGTTCTGGACATCCAGAGCAAGCACTGATCAGCAGGGGCTTTCTGATGTACTCCATACACTTAGGCACCCACACTGATCATCTGAAATATGGAACCACAGGCTGGGGAAAGAACTTCAGGAGGCACCTGTGAGTTTTAATCCTCTGCCTCTGGCTTGCATCACCTTCCCTACATCTGCAAGGAGGTGCTTCCGACACCCTGCCTGGGGACTATTTTCATTTTTAACTGGACTCACTATTGATAATCCTAAGAAAATCACCTTCCTTTGTGATTTCAGTCTATTTTATGTTTTAAAATTAATGATAGTGGTGATTTATTAATAACGAATGCAATAACCATCTCAATGATGGTTTATTAATTAATACATTTGTTCAATGTGCTCTTTCCTAAGCAATTTATATGTATCATCATATTTCATTATCAAAACAGTCCTACAAAGTAATCTGTCTCTGGAGACTCCATATTTTATTTTCTCATCTTTGTTGAAGTATAATTGATGAATAAAAATTGTAGATAGTATAGAGCACAGAAGAATTAAGTAACCTCCTCAAGGGTCGCACAAGTAGTACGTGGAGGGGCTGTGGCCAAGTGAACCCAACCTGACTCTGGAAAATGCCCCCACTGTCCTGCCGCATTGTCCTCTGGGAATAACGAGGAGCAGTTGGTGACTGATGGCTGTGTACTGTGTGCTAAGTCTTGAAGTGCACATGCATCACTCATTTATACAGATGAGCAAACTGACACATAGGAAAGTGCAGTCGAAGGTGACAAAATTAGTTAAAAGTGTATTAGGATTTGAACTCGGATCTTTGTTTCTTCAATGCCCATGTTGTCTACGTAACGTTCCACCTCTCTCCTCTTGTCCCCTGTGTAGGTGGAATTTCTAACCTCTAGGAATCTGCTGCCTCTTGTAGAGAATAGTCATTTGTACTAAGCCTCTCTTTAGACCTAGCTTTTAATCTTTCCTAAAATTAAGTACTGATTTTCCCGGCCATGGAGTAGTTTGTAAAGAAAAGCAACAGTATTCTATTTCTAGTTTCTTAGGATAATAAGGTGAAGGTCTCAGTGCTCCTGGCAAAGTTCTCTGATCTTGGGGTGGTAAAAAAGGTAAGATATCTCTGCCTCTTAAAATGTAGTACCAGAAGGTACTACATTACTAGACTCCAACCTGCCTGAGCCTCAGTTTCCTCATTTGTAAGATGAACATCATGGTGGCATTACTTCTTCAGGTTTAAAAGTGAGCCAGTGTAAAAAGCACATAGCTGAGTGCCTTTGATGGGACTGAAACAATTAAGAGTCCCATGACTTGAGGCAGAGCAGTGGAGGTAGGTGAGGAAGTCACAGGAGAAGTGAATTCTGGAATTCTGAAGCTGTGACTGTTACTGATTTGCACCCCAATTTCTACCCCAGTTCCTGGCACTATTGGTCCTTGTAACTGAGTGGCCTAGGTGGATGTCATCTCCATGGTGTGTTCCTAGTTCATCTCCAAAGACACTTACATTTCAAGGATCTTCCTATTCTCACTTAGGAGAGCAAACATGGAGCTCGTTAGAACTCAGTTACACTGTGAGACCTGTACCTTTCACACAGAAGCAGAATCGCTGGTGCCTGAGGTGGGAAGTTTGACTTAAAGAGTTTTGCCCAAGGGTTTGTGTATAAAATGCACACGTGGCACTGCCACTGTGTTTAGTGGGGTTCTGAGAGGAGGAGGATGGCCGCTTTCTGCCATTCAGGATCGAGGACCTCCCTTCTTTTCCCTCCTGCCCTTTCCTACAGGGAGAGCAAGGCAGAGGGTCTGTAGCTGCGGTCAGTGCTGCCGACGAAGGGGCTCGCAGGGACTCTTTTCTCTGGCTGCTGGGGGAGGGCAGCATCTCACTGTGGTTCTGTTTTGTGTTTCCCCAGAGGCTGGTGATGTTTGTCACCCTTTCATGTACCTGTTCATCATTTTTATGTCTTCTTTGGATAAACGCCTGTCCAAGTACTTTACCCATTTTCAATCAGGTTATTTTTTGTTGTTTTGTTTGCTCCTGAGTACAGGAGTTCCTGACGTATTTTGACAGTTAATTCTTTGTCAAATATATGGTTTGCAAATGTTTTCTTCCATTCCATAGGTTGCCTTTTCCCAATCCCACTTGTCTGTATTTGCTCTGGGGGCCTGGGATTTTCCTCTCATATCCACAGAATCATTGCTCAGACTTGTGTCAGGAAGCTTTCCTCACTGTTTTCTTCTAGGAGTTTTTAATTTCAGGTCTTATGTTTACACTATTCTGAGCTGATCTTTGCTATGACATAAGGTGAGGCCCCGGTTTCATCTCTCTGCTATGTATTCCTAGTGTTTGGAAGGTCTTTTGTAAAGTCTGCCCTTTCCTCACCCCGGTTTTGGCAGTCCGGTTGAAGAGCAGCTAGCTGTAGATGTGGTAGCACACATTCTTAAATTCAGAAACCATTAACTCAGACTTTGTTCCTATAGATTGACTTATCATAAATGACAGAAATTCTAATTTATATTGATAAAATATCACTTAAGCACATTAGGTTTCTATATAAGATTTTGTTTGAAGGAGAAAATATGATTCCAGTGTTTAAAAAGAATGTTGGGGAGCCCCATAAGAATACCCCTGAGCAGATTTATCTCACAATCAAACTGAATGGTGGCATGACCCATCCAATTTCAATTTGAAATTACTCTGCCAGATGACTTAGGGACCTATCGCAGCACGTGGTTTGTGCTGAGGTTAGTTGGAAACAAGGTAGAGATTCGCCAGATTAAGTGTGTAACTCGGGAAAGGACTTAATCATCTCTGAGCCTCTCATATGACCTCATAGGGCTGTGAAGCCAGGACAGCTGGCAGGATCATGACGTGGCTGGTGCTATAGGCTGTGCAGTCAAGTTGCTTACAAATGCCTAATTTCTCCATGCTTGCATTTTCCTTATTTATAAGATGAAAGAAACAGTATTCCATGGTTCATTATGAGGATGAAATGAGATGATAATTAAGAAGTACTCAACATTGTACCTGGTGCATAGTAAGCCTTTAATAGATGTTCCGTGTTACTATGTTTAAAGGAGATAATGCATGCGAAGCTAGCATAGCACCTCACTTGGTGCTCAGTATGAAGCTTAGGTCTGCTGCTCAGTCCAGCTATTCTTTTTCCTATCTGTCTATGTAAAATAAGACAGATTTCAGTAAGAAAATGTAACAAGTCTCCTAAGTTTCTACTAGGTCTCTGAGTAACCACTTTGATTGATCTATTTCTGCTCCCCTACTGGGGAATTATCTGAGTCTCCTTATCCTCTCCACTCTGCATTCTGAAGATGAATAAGCTTGGACAAGTTCATTCCACTTGTCCGTGTTCTCTAATCTATAAACTCAGAATCTCGGAGAGGCCGTGCTGATAACCTCTCCTGACCATTTTTGCTTCTGTGCCCACATGAGCCCTTAGTCCTGGGCTGACTTGGAAGAGAAGTGACAAGAAAACTCTTCCTCTGGAAATTCCAGATGTTCCCCGGGTCACTTTATAGGCTAATTAAATATTTTATCTTGATTTGAGCTCAGAAATGTTTGGCTCCCTATCTTGGACAGTCTGCTTTCAGATACTTGATATTTCAAGTGCTTCTTTTCATCTGAACATTTAGTCCTAGTTTTCTTTTTGGGTGTGTGGACATGTTCTTGTTGAAAAGATCACAGTTTTAGAATTGTGTATGAAAGGGAGAAGGTTTGACACCTTTGTCCTCCCACTTTGTTCAATGTTAGGCTTTTCAAAACAACTTCTAAGAACCTGGGATGGGGGGCATGTAGCTTACTTTGGCCTTTTCCCACTGAAGATTCGCCTCACCGTGTTTATTCCAGTTACCCTGAAGTGTAGCAGGTTGAAACAGCCATGTTTTTTAAGTCATGATTTCCTTATCAAGAGACAGAGTACAATTAGGGTAACTAATTCCTGCTCCACAATGCCCAGAGACCGGGCTGAAAGAACTGGAAGGCCCGGGGTGATATTATGGCCAAGTCTTCAAATTAGATGTCTTTACTCACACATAGGCTTGGACTTCCAACTGGAGTGCATGTGTGCAGACTGGAAGAATAACATAGACACTCTGTCTTCAAGTGTTAGCTTTTTGCCACACAGTTAAGCCACCCTTGGTCCGTGGAAACATTCATTATCTGAGGAGCCTGTAGAGGGCGCCATGCCACCTTCCCCCAGACCCAAATGTGATTGCGTTTACTTGCAAGCAACGAAGGGTGTATAGAGGTGACTTCCCTATATTGGCTTCCAGTTTAACTAGTGATTCTGGCCAAGGCACTGGATGTATCTTCATGGAAGCAGGCAGCTGGTGTTGAATTAGCGTTGTTTGTCACCACCAGCCATGATTGAGCTCAGATAGATGATCTGTGATACAATGAGGCTAAAATATAAGATAACATCTCTGCTGAGGCCTACAGGACTCCAGAGGTAAGTTCCTTCCCAGAATTGGCTACAAAGCAGGGTACTCATTAACCATAACCTAACTCTGGCTGTTCCATCCCTTTTGCAAGAATGCTTTGTCCCCTCTATTACGAGCCCTTTGTCTAGTGCGTCCAGTTGCCATTTCCCCAGTGTGAGTGTGATCAGCGAGCACGGAGGTTCCTTCTGACTGGTGAGCATTTGTTCCTCTAGCACAACTTGACATCCTGGATCTCTGTTACTTCATGTTCTGCCTCTTTGTCCTTTTCCTCTGTCTATGCACTGTAACACCTGGCAGGAGATTGGGGCCACTACAGTGGTCCCCTAATAACTGGCACTGTGGAAGCGTTCACTAATAGAGCCCCCCTCATGATCCTGTGGTCCATGAACACCCTAAAGGGTGCAGGTGGTGGGACCTTCGGCATTCTGACAACCTAATTCCCATTCAGGGCCCTCTCCTGGAACCGTGAAAGATGCGCGTATATGCATTGTGAAAGGAAGCACTTCCTGCTTTGAATGTTCAGATTTGGAAATGGATACTATGAAGCAGTTCACTAGGGAGGGAAATATAAAGTGTCCCTCCTGGATTTGAACACCAGCTTTAAGGAAATACATTATACGTGCCGCTGCCACTAGACAAGGAAAAGACAAGGGAAACGTAACGTCTCTGTGTAGCCCTTCAGTATCTGCTTTCTTCACTGCCTGCCATAACAGCCTATGGAGGTCAGTACTATAATTTCCATCACCCCCTCACAGATGGAGAGCTGAGTTTCAGTGATGTCATATTACCTTTTACAAGATCACACAGTCCATGTAGCTGGAACACGCCCGCTGACACTCTGACTTCAGATTTATAGAACCTTGGTCTTACCATGAGCTTCTGTTGCTATGCAGGGCCCCGCCCCTTGTTTGTGAGTAGTGCATGCATGGCTGGGGAGCTACCAAGTCTAACACAATCATCTCCATCTCTTTGATATTTAGTGTTTTCCTTGCCCACTCCTCGTCTATTGAGATTTTTTTTCCAACCCCATTTCTCAATTCTAATTTGTTGTCTACAACAAACAATTCAGTGGCACAAAGCAGTTCATCCTATAACCGAGCCACAATTCAGCTACCAGCCCACAAATAATAAAGCATGTGAAAATGACTCATTCTTTCACCCATTCACCCAACATCTACCGAGTTCCTACTATGTGCCAGGCACTCTTTTCAGGACTGGGAATATAGCAGGGAACAACGTGGTCTCAGCATGTTTTTGCCTGTGGGAGAATAGATGAGACTGGGCTCGTTCACGGTGGTGTGGCCACAGATGTGGGGAGAACAGAAAACAAGCAGTAAATGTATAAGCTGTTGCCAGTCAATGCTAAGTGCCATGAAGAAAAACGAAGCATGGAAAGGCATGGATTGTGATGGATTAGACTAGTTTAAAAGCCCTGGGCAGAGAAGACATCTCTGGGGAAGTAATATCAGCATGGATGTCCAAATTGATAAGGAGTGAGCCATCAGGATATAGAGAAAGATATGGGAAGCTGGCCAAAGGCCATGACATAGGCACTTGCCCGCCTGTTCAGAGAATAAAGTTCAGTTAAGCCAAAGGAACGAATTCTAAAGATCTGCTGTGGCAATGGTGTGCCTATACTTAAAAGTCCTGTACTGTGCACGTAAGAGGGTAACTGGAAGGCAGTGAGATCTAATTATTTTGTAGACTCAGCTATGGGCCAGACAATATAGAGCCTAGTAGGCAATGGTAGGGATTTTTTTATTTAATTCTATAAGTGGTAGGAGGCCATTGAGTAGTGATTTACATTTTAAGAAATAACACTGACTGCTGGTGCCAGACAGTGTACAGAGACAAGTGTGGGTGCTGGAGAAGGCTCTGAAAGCCTGCTGCATCTGCCCTGGGGAGAGAGGTGGTAGTTCTGGTCAGGCAGTAACTGTGGGGCTGAGGAGAGCAGGTGGAAGTGAATTTCATTGCTGAGTAGATCTGGGGACTTTGCTGATGGATTGGAAGTAGGGGATGAGAAAAACTGAAAAGTCAAAAATGATTCCAGAAATCTGAGCAAAAGGGTGCATGGCGGTACACAGCACTGGAAGCTGGTCTTTTCCGTTTGGAGGTTTCCCAGTAATCCTCCAGTGAGCGTGCTTCTCATGCTGAAGGACAGTATGGTGTACCGGAACAGCGTAATTCTGGTTACAGACTCTCTATATTCAAATTCCAGCTGTATCATTTATCCGCTATAAAAGATTGTACAAATAAACTATCTCCACTTTCTCACCCATATAATGGAAACAGTAGAATTACCTGCACTGCAGGGTTGATATGAGAATTAATCATATAGTAGTACCTGGTACTGAACACTGCATATCGGTTAGTTATTAGTAATATGCTTAATGCATTTATATGAAATATGGTTGTTTTCTTAGGGAAGTGTTGGGTCAAAGGATATACACATTTTTAAAACTGTAAAAATTACCCAAGGACTTACTTGGAATGATCATACCAATGTATTCCTAGCAGCAAAAAATGAGATCCAAGAGAAGTAACTTATTAAAGCATATTTACAATATTTAGAGTATAATATATAACATCCCCAACTCTTTGCCATCCCTTCTTGCCCAAGTCACACAATGCATATTTCCTTCGTTTAGAATGACTAGAGCTAAGTGATTATAATCACAGTGCTGTCCTTCTCATTCCAATATTATCATTATATTAATGAGTTTATTAAACAGTCATATAGTAATATGATATGACTGATAGTATAATAAAATGGTAATGTAACTAGAGCCTAACTAATTTGTGTACTAATATACAGTGTGTGAGCTTGCATGAAAAGTGTGTGTGTGTGTGTGTGTGTGTGTGTGTGTGTGTGTGTTAGAGCTAAAGAATGAATCCAAACATCTCTAAGTTGTCATCTTTAATTCTGAAGGATTGCCATGCTGGATGGTGTGCCTTATTTAAAGAGAGGAAGAGAAATTGATTTAATAATCTGTCACATTATACAACACTAGAACTTGAGAAGAAAAAGCATTCTGGTATTCTTGGCGAGAAGAAAAATATTGTGACAGCTCCATAGAGAAATCTTTGTGTGAGGAGAACTGATAGAAATTATGGTGATAAGTTAAGGATGTTAGGAAGTATATTGCTTCCGTGGAATAAATGTGACCACTACCCAATGTACATTGTGATTTTTCTTTCTTGCATAGAGAGAGTAAGGAAACAGAAACTCCAATTGTTCCCTACCTTTTTCTTGTTCCTGAAAAATGATTAATTCTGTCCTAATTTTGTCTAGAGATTTCTATAATATTTTATTTAACTGAGGTGGCACAAATAAAATCAAAATATTTTAGTAATATGATAGACTTTTAGAGCTTAATCAAAAGAATGTAGCCAGGTTTAGTGGTGCACATCTGTAATCTCAGCACTGTGGGAGACTGAGGCAGAAGGATTGCAAATTCAAGCCCAGCCTGGCCAGCGTAATGGGACTCTGTTCAAAAAAAAAAGAACAAAGAACAGGCTGGGGATGTAGCTCAGTGGGAAGGCCCTGGGTTCAATCTCCAGTGCCACCAGAAAATAAATTCAGACTTTAGTGTAAACTCTGGCATCCTACTGAAGCCAACTCTTACTTCAGCGAACAACATTAAAATATCGCCCATACTTTCCAGTCAAAGACCACCAGGACACATCTATCATTGAACAAGCTAGATTTGTTGCTTATTGCCACAAGAGAGAGTACGCTGATGGGGAACTGAACCCTCGGAGTAAGAGGATTTTAAAGAACTTACAGAGATAACTTATTAGCTGGTGTTTTAGGGGCAGAAGGATGGCTTTGTTCTGGATTGCCTATTGTTGGGAAGGCAGGACAGTTCCGTGACTGAATACCCAATAAATGTCATCAGGGAGAGAAGTGGTCAGAACTGAAGGTAAAGAGGTAGATTTCATTCACTTTAATCAAGGTGGCGTGATCTTGGGACACTTTGGTGGCTTGACCAGTGTTGATGTTTTTGTTTCATTCAGGCATGGTTACAGAGCAGTCTCTGTCTTGGACGCAGAGTGATTTTGTCTTATGTTGGTGGTCTGTGATAATTTTCTTTGTTCAGCAGGAGAAAGCCAGAGCTCAGTTGTAGCTGTGAGGCCAGCTCTGAGAAGCACAGGGCCAAGTGAGTCCTGGGTCAGCACAAGGCCAAACAGGTGGTCCTGGGTCAGCACCCGCATGTTAGTGGTTGCTTTTCCCTCGTTCACAGAGAAACTCAGAAGTTAAGCTGTGGACTTCATAAACATCGTGACCATGGGCCAGCTTCTAAGCCAAGGGAGGGGGAATATGTATATCATAGTTTTGTGTCTAAAGTGACCTTTTATATCTCAGTTATTCTAATTATCAAAAGAATTGCCATTGGTGATGTTCAGTGTACATACATTTGGTATTAATTTTTCTCTTTATATTTAACACCAAATCTCCTAATTTCTCTGTCTCCCTGATCATGGTTGACAGGGATAATTCTCATGAACTCCTTGGAAGATATCCAAGTTTTTGGTCATTTCCTACTGATAGCACTTTTAAAATGCATTTATTGTGTGTATTTCTGTTATACAACATGATGTGGGATACCTGTAGTCGTTAAAAAGGTTGCTATGGTGAAGGAACTTAACATTTCCACAATCTTACATAGTTACCTTTTTTTAGTACTAAGAGCAGTTAAAATCTTCTTTCCTCTGAATGTCAAATCAATATGATTTTATTACCTATAAACCTCATGCTGTACTGCTTAGATCTCCAGATTGTTCATCCTACAAATCTATCTGCTTCTTTATATTTTCTGACTTGAAAAATACCCTGAGTCCTTTAGTCCATATGATGCTTCTGTGGGAGATTCTAGATCTGAACCATATAGACTTCATGAAGGGATTGCCATCTTCTTGGCTAGAGCCCTGCCTAAGCCTTGCCCCCAGGAGAGTGGCTCTTCTGATTTTAAAGTGCTTTTTAGAAAGGGAGCCTACAGTCATTCTGGGGAGCCCAATAGGCTTTGAGTCATTGTGCCTTTATTGCACAGATGGTGTTCAACAGCTCTCAAGGGGGCGAGAAAGGGACATTCCCTGAGGGCTTGCCAGTTTTGAGGTTTCATCTTTTGAACAGAGGATAACCCTGATGCAATCATGGGCCTGAATTAGATTGCTTGTATGCTGGCATTCCCTGGTGGGTCTACCGCGGGTGGAAATCTGGTAATATCTGATGAAGTAGTTGACTTCTTTATATCATGACATCTTGAGAAAGGATGGAGAAGCTTAAGAAAAACTCACTAATGGAAACTGGTTAAATACAAGACTTTAGCCCTGTTGTGCACACCACCATTCATTCATCTCTCCCCACAGTGTCCCACCCTCCATCGTCCACTTCATCACCACACTCGTTGCTGTATACTGATCGATTGTATGGCTAAACCACAGTTGGTTCCTCCATTCTATTGCTGGTGAGCATTTGGGTAATTTCCAGTCTAGGGTAATTAGAAATATTGCTACTGTAGATCCTTTTTGTGAGCCTACAGATGCAGCTCTTTTGTGTAAATACTTAGGAGTGTGATTGTGATTGATGAATCAGAGTTACGGTATGTTAGCTTTGGTAGATATTTCCAAAGAGTTTTTTCAAAACATTTATTCCAACATATCCTCCCACCACTACTATGTGACACTTCTGTTTGCTCATCTTCTCCAGTATTTGGTATTGTCTGGGTTTTTTTCATCCTAGTCATTCTGGTAGATCTGTAGTGGTATCCTGTTGTGTTTGTTTATTTGTTTGTGGTACTGGGGATCAAACTCAAGACTTTGCACATGCCAAACAAGCCTTCCATTACTGAGCTACACCCTAAGGTCCAGC